AAGAGTTTAAATCGAATCATGATTGGTTACACACGATATTATTATTATCACTTATTGCTAAATATCCCATGTGCTTACGACTTATTTCTTTAATATTAAGTTGTTACTTATCGTTTAAAAAAAGTTGTTACTAATAAAGTGTCATATATCCATAGATTATATAGTTTCGGATACTATATCTTCATTCTTTGTTACCAGATAATTATATGATTAAGTATATTATGCTAAAAAAACGTTGTGATTAAGGATAGGATTTAAACCCAGTACCAAATTGAATATGTAACAATTTATGAGCAATGTGTTAGTAACCAACATTGCAAGATAGATATTCATCACCATGTAAATATTTTGCAAACAAAATACATTACTCTTCACTGCATCGTCGGTAATTGATCATATAATTACGGTTTTGTTACCAATTAATTTACCAAATTATTGCGTTCGTTATTTTGGGGGGATTTTCTTTATTTTCGACGTTTTTATGTTTGAAATTATATTTCTTCCATTATTGACATTCTTATGTCCCTTGTATCTCCTTAATCTAATAATTAAAATAATAATGTAAACAATTAAATCTCCTACATTTAATGATTTATATTTTATCTTTTAACCCCCTGAAAAATAAAAATCCAAATTCAACTTGAATTTTAATGGAGAACAAAAATACAGGAGCGATTTAAATTAGTATTTAAACATAAAAATAACATTATAAAGATTAATTTATTAAGGTTTATGCCATATGCAAGCCAAAGATTGTGCCAGGTGCAATGCTTATGAACCTTGGATTAATTTACTACTTGTATAAAAATTGATAAATTTAACTTATAAAAGAGTACATTATTTTTTTAGTTAAAAGGGGGAACTATATTAAAATTAAAATAGTTGTCTTCAACAAAACTTTCCTTGCCCAACTTGAAATACAAATGGGCAGAAAGCGTGGGCTTAGGGAAAGAGATTTAGAGCACCATTATTGGTGAACAAAAAAAAATGGTTCATGGGTCACTATCACCATTTCTCTCTCATCCACATCAACCCAACAAACCATTTACAATATTCACTCTTAACAATAAACACTAAACAATGGTTCATCATCAATACTCCTTACCCCACCTTATTTTATTTTTGTAAATATAATCTTTTTGTTTCATAATTATAATTTATTAACCGATGTCAATGTAATTAATTGACGTATTTAATATTTTAATCGTGATTACTAATTAAGAAATTATCGCGTTTTTTTATCAGCTTTTTAAAAAATTAATTCTTGTGATTAATATTTTTTTAACAACAACGCAGCTAATTTTAATTAACATAAAAAAAAAGGAGGTACAAATCGTGATTACAGTTCTACAACTATAATCTAGTACATTTTATTTAAAAAAAAAAACACAACTACACATCGTTTTGTAAGATGTCCTTAGGGATAACCATTTGTTGTAAACCTAGTTGCCTAAGTTTTCGTTGTTACCAAATTTATTCCATATATGTTCGACCAAGTCGTTTTTTAGCTGCAAATGAGTCTGTTGATCCTCAATCTCTGTTCTACGAGACAAGTATAAGCCGATATCCACAATACGATCAGTACGGTACTCGGTAGTGTCCTCATTAGCGTTCCCTCCAGCATTCATAAACTCATTGGTATTAACGTTATTTTGATACGTCTCTCGTTCATCTTCAACGATCATATTATGTATTATGATGCAGGCGAGCATGATATTGTGGAGTATGTCGGTATTCCACGCCAAAGACGGCTTTTTAATAATGGCAAAACGAGCTTTTTAATAATAATAATAATAATAATAATAACAACGATGATAATAATAATAACAACGATAATAATAATAATAATAACGATAATAATAATAATAATAACGATAATAATAAAAAAAATAATAATAATAATAACGATAATAATAAAAACAATAATAATAATAATAATATTAATAATAATATTAATGATAATAATTAAAAATAATAATAACAATAATAATACTAATATTGGTATAAATAATAATAATATTGGTAATTATAGAGGGGATTTTTGAAGAGAAAAATATAGTAGAAAAAAATGAATTTTGAAAGTTGAAAAAAATATATCAATATGGGTGTCTATTTATAAAGGGGAAAAAAATAGAGTCGTTGGTAATTTTTTTTTTTTTTTTGATTTGTATTTTATAAAATATATTCGTTGCAAAATTACAACGGATATATTTAAAACAGTGCACACGTGTCAAGCAGCGGCTGGGCCAAGTGGCGCGCTCCCAGCCGCTGATTTCTATTTTTTTTTTCTGAGCTTCAACAGCAAAACGACGTCGTTTTGCACCATGAAACAGCAAAACGACGTCGTTTTGCTATAATACCAGTCCAAAATATTGGTGGGGCCCACAGCGAATCAATTCATGGAAATGCTTGCTCCTGCAATCGAACCCATGACCACTCAACATGAACCATTAAAGGTTTGCCATTAAGCCACCACTTTATTTGTTTATTCATTGTGAACAATTAAATAGTTCACCCTTAAAGATGCCCTTACATAATAACCAAAAGCTAAATAAAACATCAAGAATCATATAACTAGCACTAAGCATGTCCTTACTCCCCTGCTTCCTGAATATCATTGCAGTAGGTAGTTTCTAAACCTTCGGCCACTAGCGTATAGGTGTCAAAGTGTCCCGAGATTTGCATTGCCATTTGGATGGAGTGCCGTTTGTTACTTTGCTGTTCCATGGAAGACTAATGCTAATGAAGTAATGAACATTAAAAAAAATCAATAAATTCAGAAATTAAATGTGAACATTGAAAACGACAAAGATTTTGAATTTTTAATTTAAGATTATCAGATATTTCACTTCAAATTCAAATGAAATTTCAAATTAAATGGAATTTGGGACCCAATTTAACCAATAAAAAAAACATCATGTCAAATTGTATATAGACCCCACAGTATGTGTAGCCTTTGCCTTTTTTTTTTTTATAAAGATTTGATAGGATTACAATCCAAAACTAATATTTGATCCAATCATCGTCTTCTCAAGTATATTAATCAATGGAGAGTATGGTTTTTACACACTTGATTACATACTCTAACAGCATAATGATCAAAGGTGATCTCAAGCTATCAAACTTAGATACCAATTTGGCATATGATATTAAGTTATTAACTCACCGACAAATTATATATTCCGTATATTTGTATTAATTGTACTCTATAAGTTATTATGTATAAAAAAGACTACGACACACACCCCATTTTCTTGGACCCCTCAAAAATTTGGATGTCTTTAGTTGATTTATAAGACAATGATATGCAAATCTTTCCTATATAGAATTTAAGGAAGCTAATCACACAATTCAACTACAAAACTGCAATTTTTTATTTATAAAAAAGGTACAAGACTAAAACAAACACCTTAAAATTGGAAATAAAAATTATTAAGTACTACTTCTGGTTTTTTTTTTTACTTGTAACACTTCTCTTTTACACTTACCAATATATTATTTTAATCGCTAATATCTTAATTATGTAAAAGTTATAAACCTTTGGAACTAAAATAGTAAAAATAATTAAGTCAAAGTAGAATTCTATTTGGTAGCCTCGTGGTTTCAAAAATTCCACATGGAAGACAAATTTTTTTTTTAGTCTCTGTAGTGACTTCGTGGTTTTGCATATTTGATTATAGTGGCCTAATTGTCATTAAGTGGCTAACCATTTACAAAATGGTTCGATTTTTTTACCATATTTCAAGAAAAGACTAACCTACCCCTAATTAAATTAATTCCTCCTTCCTTCTCATTAATGGGCAATCTCCTTCTTCTGTAAATTCGACAGCCATCAATCAAAAAAACCCAAAACCTTTCATCTTCCTTCAACCTCCAAGAATTTGTGATCTGGGAAAGAGGGATTAAAGAATTCTAAGCATAAATTACAGTTGGTTGACGATTTATTGGCGAAATTGCTGAGCAATTGTTAGGAAATAATTTGTTGGAGTTGTTCGTTTTGTGGTGAATTTTGTGGTTCAAAATTTAGGGTTTGTTGGTGAAATTCTGACGGAAATCGCAATATCAGGGAGTTCTTGTGGTTGCTGAAGTGATATACAGACCTTAAGCAAGGTATGTCGTTTAAACTTTAGGTTTTTCAAGTTGTTCTTATAATTGCGAAAGTTGCATGCTCTGTTTTTGTTTCTCTGAGTGTGTGTTGAACAAAGATGAAGTCTTTATGCTTGCTAGTAGGTGTTTGATGTTAAAATATATGCGTTTGGTTGTTATGTTGCAGAATGGATCAGTGTATGCTAAAGTTTGCGTATATGGGTAATGTAATTGAAGTATTTGTAGAAGATATTGACAAGGTCATGTGGATAGATTTGATCATTAAGTGTGAGGAAGGGTTTAACAAAAAGAATTTTGAGTTTCCTAGATTCCCTAGCTTTCACTACTGCTATAACATGAAAGATGTTAAGATAACTTCTGACAGTGATTTAATGTCAATGCTGGATAGATTAAAGGATAGGGAAGAGATTACTATTTGGATTGGTTGTGTTGATAAGCCTATTGACTGTGTAATTGCTGCTAGAAAGCTTGCTGAAACGCTTAAACAAAACCCTAGTGTACATTTTGGTCCTAGCCCACCTAAGAAAAATGCACCAGTTGATGATCATGAGGAGTACTGGAATGATATTAGGGTTGAGATGCAATTACAACAACATGCACCAGTTGATGACATTGATGAGGGTGAGCAGGAGAGTGAACAGAAGAGGAAGAAAAAGAGTGCACCTAAAACTGTGAAACCTAAGAAACTACCTGTCAAGAGAAAGCTCCACCTACATAATGATAAAGAAACCATGCCCTCACAAACAACCTTCTCAAATGCACCTGTGATTCAAAAACAAACAGACACATCCTTAGAAAAACCCTCAAACTTGAAATGTAACTCTGGTATTGTCCTTCACAAGATACCAAGAACTACAGCTGCTAGGAAGAAGATTGTCTAGACCAATAAACCCATGGTTGATGCTATGGTGGTGAGTGAGAGTGAGTTTAATAAAGCTGTTAGAAGATTGGAGGCTAGGGATGCTCAAGTTGGGAGAACATATGAGACTGGTGAGACTAGTAGAGCTGGAGTGGAAGATGATATGGATGAGGGAGCTGAGCTGGAAGATTACATTGGTGAGGGTGCTGTATTGGAGGATTACATTGGTGAGGGTGATGAGTTGGACGATGAAATGAATGAGGATGCTCAGTTGGAAGATGACATGGAAGAGGAAGAAGAAATTGGGTGTGTTCAGGACACATATGATCCATACTCATTAGACTGCTGGCAGAGAGGTCTTTATGCAGATGAAACTTATTTCAGTAGGATGTAAAAAAATGGTGATTTTGTGTCTAATCTTGAGTTTGGCAATATAGTGTTAAAGCCCTGGATGATCTTTAGTGATAAAGAGCATTTCATGTTTGTGTTTAGAGATTATTGCATTCAATGTGGTTTTGCAGTAGTAGTTGATAGGAGTAGTCCTAAAAGGTTCACTGCTTCTTGTCTTGCTCTAAGCTGTGGTTGGAGAATTCATTCAAGCAGGCTACCTGATGGAGTCACATGGGCTATAAAGAGTATAAAGAACCCTGAGCACACTTGTGGAGGGTTAGATGAAAGGAATCCCCTGGTAACTATTAAATGGGCTGCAGAAAAGCTACTTGAAGATATAAGGGCAAATAATGACATCTCTGGAAAGACATTGAATGATCTGTTGTTCAGTAGATATGGAGTGCATATGGCAACCAGTACACTTTACAAGATGAGAAGGGTAGCATTGAAGGAGATAAATGGTGGCCATGACACTTCTTATGGGTATTTTCCAAAGTACTGTGAGATGGTTAAGGAAACCAACCCAGGATCTGCAGCTAACTGTGCATGGAAGCAACTTAATCCCCCTGATCCCTCCCTCACATTCTCTAGTATATTCATTTCATTCAAGGCTGCCATTGATGGTGTTGTTACAGGGTGTAGGAGTTTAGTGGGGGTTGATGGAGCTCACTTGAAAGGACATTTTGGTGGGGTCCTTCTGTCTGCTGTGGCTGTAGATGGGAACAATGAGTTGTTTCCTTTTGCATGGGCTATTGTCCCCAAGGAAGATGGTGACAGTTGGAAGTATTTTTTCTGGCACCTTAAGCATATTCTGTCAGGTTCTAGGAGGGGGAATGGTTGGTGTATTATTTCAGACAGACAAAAAGTAAGTGATCTCTGTCAGTCACACTTTTATTTCTGTAATTGCAAATAACAATGTAACTCAGTGTTTCTAACATTTGGATGCAGGGAATAGATGTGGCACTAAATGAGCTATGGCCTGAAGTGGACAGGAGATATTGCTGCAAACACTTAGCCAAGAATTGGAAAGCAACATTTCCTGGGCCTTTAATGCATTCACTGTTTTGGTTGGCATGTAGTGCAACATCTCCTTTCACCTTCAAAAAAGCAATGGACAGGATGAAGGTTGTGAATCCAATTGCTTGTGAATGGTTGGCTGATCTGGGGGAGCAGTCAAGATGGACAAGACACAAATTTGATCCAAACATTTGCAGTGATGAGAACAAGACCAACTTTGTGGAGAGCTTCAACTCAACTTTAGGTATAGACAGATGCAGGCCTGTCTTAACACTTTTGGAAGGTATCATTCTGTTTTTCCCATCTTCATTAATGGTATTTGACATGGCTCTTTAATGCTAACCAAAGAATACATGAATGCATAGGTATTAGAAGGATGTGCATGGTTAGACTGTCAACAAGAAGACAAAGGTGCAACAAATGGAATGAGGATGAACCATGTCCTAACATAGTAAAGAGAATAAGGAGTTTGACCTTTGAATCAAGAACTTGCAAAGCTTATCAGTCAAGTGAGGGTGAATATGAAGTGAAGGATGGGAAGTCTATGCTTCCTGTGTCACTACACAGGAAGACATGTCTTTGTGGGGCATGGCAAATTTCAGGATTGCCTTGCAAACATGCAATCAGAGCAATCTTGGCTGCTGGATTGAACCCATACCATTTCTGCAGCACATAGTTCTCAGTCCAAACTTATAAGCAAGCATATGCCAATCCAATACACCCTGTACCAGATTTTGAGCACTGGCCAAAGATTGATATGCCTACAATACTACCACCTGTGATGAAACGAGCCATTGGTAGGTCATCTAGACAAAGAAAAAGGGCAGCTAATGAACCAGACAAAGGGAAAAGGTCCACAACAGTCCAATGTCAAAAATGTATGTGTTATGGACACAACAAACAAACATGTAAGGGTGGACTTACAGTAGCAGAGCAGAGAAAGGCAAGAGCTAAAAAAACAGCAAAGAAAACTTCTCAATCCTCTAAACACAGTGCACCAAAGAGCACATCCACAACAAACCCACCAGACCCTCCAAGAAGATTCACAAGAAGCTCATTGCAGTCTCTTTCACAACCACAACCCTCCATTAACACAACTCAGACTTCATATGAAGCTACTCAAGGTCCAAGTAGCCAACCTGTTACCAGGATAAGGAAGGGTAACAAAGGAAAGAACAAAGTCTGATATGTCCTGTACCTTGATAGAGTAGGAGCAAGTAGGATGTTTGTTTTTGTATGTCAGTGCAATTGCTTGCAACTTTTGGTTGTTGAACGTATGGTTTGTATTTAACTAGAACATCTTCTAGGCCAAGTTATGGTTTTTGAACTTATGGTCTGTATTTAAGTTCTTGTAGGTGAAATTATGGTTTTTGTCAACTTATGGTCTGTAATTTAACTAAAGTTTTATTACTTTATCATATCTCAACTTTGGTTCATTCACAGCACATTTATATATATTAGAAATCAAGTACCATAACTGAGTTTTTATTTATACTTGGTTGAATTACATAACTGCTTTCATAAACCCAGTACAAAATACATCACCACCCCTCATTACATAACTTCATTACGATTCAACCTTAACAATACTCCCCTTTCCCTCATTACCCTGTTTACATCATTTAAGGTAACAAAAAACACAAATTACTAATATGATAATACCAATCTTCATAACCCTCTTGCAACAAACAAACAGTTCTGAGACCATGTTATGTATTGCGACAATCTCAGAATTTGGTGAAGCATCGTAAAAGCTCACATCATCTTCTGTGACCCATTCAAAATATCCGCAACCTCTGACTTCTTCCCTGCATCTGTAGTATGGCTTCTTTGGATTGCTCATAGAATCAGAAAACCTAACCTCAGCGTTTCTAGGGGGGTTGCAATTGCAGTGCTTCATCCTTACCCAATTAAAGCTTCCATCTGTTGCGCCTCTCTTCTTTGAAGAAACTCCACGAAAATTCATGGTGATAACCTATGGAGGCTAGGTTGTGAGATATGGTGGAAGGTTGAAGGGAGAGGAAAGGGTTTGGGATTAAATTCAACAATGTCGAGCAACCAGCCAAACAGTTGAAGGGGAGTCTTTATTTAAGGAAGAAGGAAGGGGGAATTAATTTAATTAGGGGTAGGTTAGTCTTTTCCTGAAATATGGTAAAAAAACCGAACCATTTTGTAAATGGTTAGCCACTTAATGATAATTAGGCCACTATAATCAAATATGCAAAACCACGAGGTCACTATAGAGACTAAAAAAAAGTTTGTCTTCCATGTGGAATTTTTGAAACCACGAGGCCACCAAATAGAATTTCCCAAAAATTATTGAAACTAGTCGAGGTAGAGCTAATGAATAGAATAAAAATCAAACTGTTACAAGTAAAAAAAATCGGAAGAAATAATATGTAGTAAAAAAAAAAGGACCAAATTAAATAGGAAAAATTGCCCACAATAATCCGAACTTTAACTCATTCACCCAAAATAATCTCAATATTTTTTTTATTATTTTTTTTAAATAATCGCAACTTTAAACAATTATACCCAATTAATTTTAAACAGTTCCAAATGACTTGAAATCGGTTAAATAGGTTAATATTTGTGATTTGAGATTATTTGCATACGTGTCACCTCGTGATTGACGTGATTGGTTAAATTTTTTTTACAAAAATTAATCAAAAATTGAAAAAAAGAAAAGTAAAGTAAAATCAAATATTAAAAAGCCGCCGCCACCACCTTAGCCACACCACCACAGCCACCACCAACCCCACCGGCACTCAAACCCAGACCCCGGAACCGTCACCCCACCACCACCCAGACCCTGAAACCACCACCAGTACCCCATCCCGACTCCAAAACCATCACATCCCACGATTCCCACCCAAACTAACCCGAAACCACCTACCTACCAGATTTTAAACGGGACGGGTGAATGGGAGAGGGGCCGAAAACGAGGCGAGGGGAAGGGGAGAAGGTCGGAAAATGGACGGGGAAGGGGAGGAGGGCCAGAAAATAGGCGGAGCAAGGGGAGGAGGGCCGTAATATGGGCGGAGAAATGGGAGGAGGCCGGAAAATGGGTGGGGGAAGGGAAGGAGCGCCGACAAATGGGTGAGGAAAGGGGATGGAACCGGAAATGGGACGGGGAAGGGGAGAGGAGCCAACAGCAACAGCCTCCCGGCGGCGGTGGCAGGGGCTGCCGCTGAGTTTGTGTTAAATTTTTTTAAAGGTTTTTTTATTTAATTTTTTTGACCTATCATGTGTTGACACGTGTCTGGTAACATGACCGGTTAGGACTGTTTAAAGTGAATACATGTTAAAGTTCGGATTATTAAAAAATAATAAAAAATTAGGATTATTTTAGACGAATGAGATAATGTTTGGATTATTGTGGGCTATTTTTCCAATTACCACGTCTAGAAAGTGATGATCATGTGCCTTTGTCAGCAAAGTCGATGAATATAAAGTGGGCCTTTTCTGTTTGGACCATTTGGGCCCCCCATCTAAGCCTCTAAAGCGTACGACCCTTTTGGGCCTAAGGAATTGTTACTTGTTTGGTTCGAGAATTTCGTATTACCTAATGGAATTGGAAGCATTATTGAGTTTTTTTTTTTGAGGAAAAGCACTATTGAGTTTCTTGTTGGGTTAATCTTATTTTTTCATCATGCCTAATTTTTTTACATGGAGTAATCTGTTTATCACACACACCATTAGAAGCAGCCCATTTCAAAGTAAATTTTCTCAATGAGAAAAAAAAAATGATCAAAAAGAACAAAACCTTTTCCTTTTCTTTAATAAGTACATTCAGGTGTATGTAAGAATTCACACTTTTCTGATGTCAAATAAAATATTAATCTCACTTTTAATCAACCATCACACTTATAATAAGTAATAAAATAATAGATATCCTTCCTCAAAAAAAAAAAGAAAAAAAAAAAGTAATAGAATATTTATCTCACTTTTAATCAACCATCACACTTATAATAAGTAATAAAGTAATAGATATCCTTCCTCAAAAAAATGAAAAAAAAAGTAATAGAATCCAGGCCTTAATATATATTAATCCTCAATTTTTCCTCTATAATATAATGTGCTGTTTTCTAAATGTAATACTTCGTATATAATTGACTAGGTCTTACATTCTTCTATATCTTTTCTATGTTTTAATTAATGGATACACGACAACATAATCATAATGGAGGTTGGATCTTTGATTTTACAATATATAATTCCACGTTTTAAAAGTATTGCTGAATGCTGCTGAATTATTCAATGAGAAAAAGTGCTGAAGAAGACTCAATAATATAGCATCTAGTCCAGAGACAATATAAAATCAGTTATCATCCCGGCCCTTTGCTGTCAAATCATTCATAATACGATGTGACATAACAATCAAAGAGGAATCATAAACAAGGCGTAAAATTAGAATGCTATCAAAATTTTGATCAATTATCATTCATTCAGTACATTGCTGACCTGTGGAAGCACTTGCAATACATGTGCTTGTTTGGACAAATGGTATATTATGTATGTCAATACTATAAAGATTAATGAAAACCCTCAAGGCCTCAACGTGCATCGCTAAGTGCTGTGTTTGGTTTTATTCACAGGGAAGTATACACCCTCAGCTGCCATCCAAATATTGTCACTCTGCTTATTGATCACCCCACAAACCTGGTAAAGGAAAAACATAAGAAAATTTGTGATTAGTGTTTGTGCAAAAGATGAGCGAGTATTTGGGATTAAGTAAACTGAGGACAATGACGACACATCCAACAAACAAGTGTATGCTTGAAATTATCAGTTGCTTCTCGAAGAAATTATTCCTCCACTAGTACATGGTCATTATCAGACGGAAAGAAATAGCTAGCTTAGTTCAATATGTATAACTTAAGTTCTCTGTGGAACTGTCCCTGAGCAACTCCCTAAAAGGAAAGCTCCAGGGGCTTGTCTAATCATCATTTCCGAAAATGAGGAATAGCTTCAACATTGCTTACCTCTTGCTGCCCCATGCCATACTTCTTCTTGTGGCTATGTAAATAAACACCAGTATCCACATGCTGAAGCCGAACCCTTTGATCTTTCATCCACATTTTCCCTGCTCCTTCAACTATTAGCCTGAAAGAATTAATTACTTTAGAAAAAGCAGAATAACATAAACTTAGGAGAAGCTACTACAACGGAGATGAATAAACCAACCAGAAGAAAAATCAATATTACAACAAACCTCCAATGATCACCCATGTCAGACTTGCCATCATTCCCAAAGCAGCTGACCTACACATGGTAAGGCATAGAATTGAAATCTCAGTAGTGAACTACCCAGGGAGAAACCGTTTTATTTCAGGGGCAGAACAAACTATCTTACCATGTACCAGAAGGGAAGTAAACAAATATAATAACCTATACGCATCATGCCATTAGAAGGTTTATATGCAACCTTACCCCGACGTAGTTCAATATAGAGCAGAGACCTGTACCAGAGAAGTGAAAGTTTACCTTCCAGTCCTCCACTCCCACAGTTGTCCCAATTTTTATGGTCTTTCTCATTTTCTACTTTCTTCATAAATTCATTTTTTTATGGGTCATAAATGCATATTTAACTCACAGCATTCCTTATTCCCACTTTACTAAGATTACTAACACTCTATTATAGGTTATATCACCATTTAGTAACACTCATCATTTATGAAATACTTCATAAGAAGTATCAAGCATGAGGTGGATTTACTGAGATGCATATATTTTCACTTTAGAACATGTAAATATGAGCATTATGTGGTTACAGGAAGCTTGAATTGATATACATAGGGATATGCAATGGATTGGGTCGAACCACACCAGCAAGCAATCCGGGTCTACGAGCGAAGGCACAAGCTTAAGGCCAAGAGACAAGATCAGCAGCAGCAGCAACTTGTAGCAGGAAGATGACAAAAAGTTTAAATGTTCCACTAAGAAGTGTGGCATCTGATTTTCTGTGGTGAAAGCCACCTTGGCAGTACATGACAAAGCTTATTAATAGCTAGGGTACTTTTGTATGAGAGAGGGCTTGATATATAAGAAGTAGCAATGCAACTGTAGTATTCATGTTGTTGGAGAATTTAGTAGTACAGTAGTAGTAGCTGTAGTATTCTTCAAGAGTCAAGCTTTTAGCTTAGACCTTAGTTTTCTTGTACCCGTTATTTACAAATATCAATCAAAATATCTTAAGCCTTCCTCTATACATTGTTTACTGTTACATTCAAGAGGGTATTTGTTCCAAAATGACCCATGGGATGTCTCACTCTCTCCCTTCCAGAGGACTTGCTCATGGGCTTCTCTATGCAGTTAGCGTTGAAATTGCAAACTAATGGGTCATTTACAACCAAGGAACTCCTCGTCCAGCAGATGTCCAAGTTTCACTTTTTATAAGAGCTGGCATAATTAAGTTAACCAAGACCTACCTTTCACTTAGGCATGATCTTGGCTTCCTAATTCTTAACAAGCTAAATACTTCACCACAACAGATTTGAATAATGCACTTCACTCCCTATTGCAGGGAGTAAACTCATACAAAGTAGTATTCAATTTTTGCAAGGTATACTACATACTCTAGTACTCAGTGACAACAACTCTCAATTCTTGCTTAAAGTAAGTAAGCAAAAGTGGATGTGTCAGAATTCTTCAATAGTAGTTCAAGTCCACTTCATATTTCATAACTTTGAGTTTATGTACCTTAACACAAACATATTGATATCTTCTTGATTCAATAGACAATTCTATTCAAGTCCGTGGAACCCCTGGTAATATGTACATTAGTTGACCTTGCTTTCTACCTAGTCTTAATGCTCATGATAAGAATATTAGTCTTTCATACTTTGAGTAGTAAGAAACTAAGAATATTGTCTTAGACTATTTGATCAAAGCAGTTGCTTGACTTGAGAAATGGAACAAATCTATCTTTAAAGGGATACCTTGAATAATATTAAATGAAAAAAAAAAAAAATCTAATAATCTAGAAATATGATACAAATAAAATCACCTCTCTAATCCCAGATAACATAAAGGGGTCCTGTAGGACCGGAAATCTAGTTGTAGAACAAGGTAAATTGGAATAGGTTATGAAATGCCCTACAAATCAGATATGACTTTTTCACAGTAACAAGCTATAATATATAACATATATATGTTTCTTAGGCATTTTGTAAAGTGGTGCATATAAAAATCTTATTGGTCCAGTAAACCTTATTGTTCAAGTAACATAACTGGAAACAAGAACATGTTATTCTTTAATGTCATCACCTCATCGGGATGGTAAAAATAGCCAACTGGTATATGTAAACTCTAAATCATAAGGTATATTGGCAGGTCGTGAATAATGACACAGAAAGAATCGTTTCTGAAGTTGATATTCGCCATACATGATGTTTAGGGTAAAAATTACCCATGACAAATGGACCAATCCGGACCTGCCACGTGTCCACCACGTGGGCCAATCAGCGTCCGCCACTTGTCACCCTAAGAGGTCCAATATGGACTAATCAGGCCACGCCACGTGGCCTCCCATATGCCAAATAGGCAAAATGGCCACCAAGGCCCAAAGTCCGAGAGAAGCCCAATTTGCCCTGGTTAACCTAAACCTAGGATTGGCACGCTTCTCAAGACTATAAATACTTAATTAATCCTCATTAAAGGGGATTCAGCAATTGATGACTCTCACCTAGAGAAGTCTAAACACATTGATCACTCCTCCCCTAGAGGAACCAGATCTCCCACCTTTACTTTCCGCATTTATTACTCCTCAAACAAGTACTAACTTGACCGTTGGAGGCGGAGCTCCCACCACAAGGAGTCTCCGTTGTTTTGCAGGTACAGGCGCAAGGATACCAGTCCCGGAATTGTAACTCTCCCGCAGGACATCAGAAAACCCCGAAACATTTTGGCGCCGTCTGTGGGGAGAGTACTTTCGAGATGGCATCACAGTCTGTACCGATTCTAAGTGACAAGCGTCCCATGGACGACCCCCTGGTTCAGTCGGACCAGGACACCGACAATGAAATCGATGTCGAGACTCACACGACCCCCGACGGGTCCCTTAGAGCTCGACGTACCCGTCCCACCGCCTGAGCATCAACAGGCGATCGAGGGGTCTGCTCCTGTTACCAGGAACGAACTCATGTCTTTCATGAGAGGTTTCAAGGAAGAAATCCAGGAGCTAATCAAAAAGAGAACGCCTGTTCCCGCAAAGGAACAGTCGGCCAGAACGTCCTCCCACCCCGGGAGAACTAGACTTGTTAAGGATCGTGTGGCGACCCCTAGCCAAAGCCTGGGGTAAGGCAGTCGCCAGTGATCGACTAAACGAAGTATCATTTCCCTTCACAAGGGAAGAGAAAGCCCATCCGTTATGTTCAACCGGACGAGTCAAAGAGAACATTCTCTGATGCTCGAATGTTGCTGGAGCAGAAGAAGAATAACCGACTATCAGAGTCGGCCTCTACGTCTGATTTTCAAGTCAGTCTCCACCATACCTCCATGAGGTATTCAAAATCTAACCATGAGATTCAGACAGGCGGCACTCACCCTCACAAAAGTGTGCTAACACTCACAGGGTACAGCCGACATAGTTCTTGCCCATGCTAATTAATAGACCAGGCGGCAATATAAGCAGTCGGCCAGGTCTAACCAACCCCGATTAAAGTTACATGCGCCTAGCATGACACTCAATGGGTACAGCCGGTAGAAGACCAGCCTCCGAGCATCCGGCCAGGCGGCCAAGTACTGCATGCGTCATACGAACAAATGTTGGGAGTCGGATGGTCAAGCTTGTAGGCTGGTAAACATGGAATCAAGCGCTGACTACTTCATATCATTACGTGAGAAGCACATTGCTAGCCACACGTCACTTAGACCAACCAGGTGGCAAAGTCCCATGTGATCATAACAAGGAGGCGACTCTTCAAGTGACAAGGCACAATACCAAGGGTATATAAACCAAGGCATGTGTCGTATAACATGGAGACCAAACAAGACTTACATGATCATAACCGTCGCCCACTAAACACTCAGCTTTTGAAACGATTCGCAAATGCTAGGTGGAGTAATGGCCCTTATGCTTCTTGAACAAACCGACACCCAGGCTTCGTTCTTCAAAGCTAGTAGGCGGCAATCGGCTCCGGCTCAGCCACAAAGCAGTCGGCCTACTAGCTCTAAAATAGCCGAAACTCTTTAATGAGGGCCATAGACGCTAGCATACAATCGACTCTCAAAACGTTGTGAGCATTACACCCTTGAAGCCGAAAATGGATACTTAAGGCACCTCTTTTAGTTCTCAAACTAATCAAAGTATCATCCAACATCACCTTTGCCAAACCTTTCTTGACATAGCACAAGCAATCGGCATCAAGATGGTATTTTTAACCAGCCGACCAATATATGTTGTTGCTATGGTTGAATATGCGCATGCTACTACTGCTCTTCATACTTGCACTGGTAGTGGAAAGCTTGCCTAAACATGCAAATTTGGTGAACACGATGCCAGCTACTAACACGAATGGTTTCGATGCAAGTGTGGTATGAGCAGGCGTCAAGTGGGAGAACAACAGGTGCTCATATAAAGAAACAAGAACACCCCATGAGCAGTCAGTTGGTGCAACGCATCCGGCCATGCTAACGATGAAATGCAAACAAACGGCAATCTATGCAGCTGCTAAACATTCGGTCCTTCACTATTAAACCTGAACGTTACGGAACATCCATCTCCAACTCAGTCCCAGCTAGAGGCACTAAAACAGCCGACCTTCACAATGGTTTTGTTAAATGCATCCAGTCGCTAAAAACAGCCGGCCTAGTATCAGCCAACTAGGCGGCAGTAATGATTAAATCAGGTGGCCCTTGCAACCAAAGCAATGATTAAACGGCTAGTCATGTAAAAACAAGCGGCACCCTATTGAGGATTGTCAATTGTTTCCGTTGCAATTACCGTGAGGAAGCTCTTACCCAAGGTGAATCTTAATTACTGAGTAAACTCTGGAAGAAGTCGTTTGTGAGCTTCTAACCAGGCGGACTTCTCCTCATGCCAAGCATCTGTTTGATATAGGCGGCATCAAAGGCTGCAAGCAATACATCCGGCCAGCTCCATATATGCTCACCCAACATTTATAATGCCATATGTATTTCAATTCAAATGAAACTTTTTCCAGCTTGCATCATATGCGGGTCAACTAGTGGGTCTTGGTCTGGCTGAAACAAAACCGAAAACCAGCCGTAAAAAACAAGAGTTAGGTGCATGAATAGCAGCCGGCCATCTCTACGCAACATTAGTTAGCTCTTGATAAAACATCCGGCACTCTCAGCATTTGAGAGCAGGCGACATTATAGAGTTAGTCGGCATTCGGTCAGCCAAACAGCCGGTGCTCGTCGAGGGTAGCCTTGAAAAACCGGCTATATGTATTTAAAGCAAGAATGCCGTGAATAATTACACAATCACAAGTGCTCCTCAAGATTACAGCCGGCCATACCCAAAAAAAAACCATTGTGCTCGGTTTACTTGAGGTTTAAAAACGGCCCCGGCATGCGAGCATCTATGATCTTTGCTATTGTGATAAGACCAGCCTGCTCTATATGATGTTTTATCATGGTATAACCGCATGGTTTTTGCTCAAAAATATAATGCCAAGTATACTTGATACAAAGGAGTTTGGTTCCAGCTTGATCTTCCAAAAGTAAACAGCCAACATACTCGCACATATAAACCTCAAACCTCATGGCCTGCCGAGAGGAGTAGCGCTTGGCTCGTAGTAATATAATCGGCCATGAGAGTGAATGCTTAAACTTGTTCATGTGCTAATTCTCTTATTGTGAAAGCTGGGCATTGGCGTCTCGCCCAAGAAAGCAGGCGGCTAAATGGCAGCCGGCCTAGTCCTAGCCACGAAGTAGCAGGTGGTAGCCACGATCAACTTTAACCATGCGTCCGGCACTTCGATGTTGGGCATGAGTTACATTGCCGAGTGTGTGAGCATGTAGCCTCGAACTTAGGCCTTGATTATAAGCGAGAGCTTGATGACTCCTACCTCAAATGCACACAAGCATTAAAATCAAGACACTCGAATGGTTCATAACAGTCGGCACCTCATAACAAAACCAGTCGGCCCCTTAAACCATTCAAAAGAGCGAGACGGAGTAGGAGCGCCTATGTTTGAACAACCGGCTCCCAAGCTTCGTTCCAAGAATAATATGGGCCACACCCATATCTCATTTTGTATATACATGACCGCTAGCATGTCCAAGAAATCACAAAAGCCCACTTGGTATCCGAGCCTTCTTCACCAAGCGCCTCATGTTGATAGCAAAATCAAGGAGGCGGCTCTTGGGTAAAACAACAAGTTTAAGTAATAGCTTCGAACTTGAGCATGAAAACAAGCGGCTACCTGAACAATCGCATGAACAATTCGGTCATTTAAAGCCGAACCTTAAAATGCGAGATATTTAGCTTGATATTCCGGAAACATTTAATCACAAGGCGTTCATGGGTATCGAGCATCGTGGTCTCAAAGCTGAGGATTGGAGGTCTTGCCTAAGGAAAACAAGCGGCATACCGAATGGAATTATTTATCGTGGGTTTGCAGCCTTGTTTTAGGCTACCATCATCACTATTATGGTTGAAAAAAAAAAAAAATGCTGCCTAACAGTATGGCTAATTGTCATTCTCATGCATGAGAATAAGACAAAAACATAAGATCCTCTCAAAAAATATTGCCTAAGTCTATCAAGCAAGAGAGGCGGCATGAATAGTAGTCGGCCCCCTATACGACGAAGTCTCGTAGCTATGAAAGCAGTCGACCCTCATTAATTTCACTAAGGGGCTAAAGACCGGCGGCAAATGTGTAGGCCGAGCAGCGAGGTCGCAAACCACATTAACAAGTTTAGCACGACCACCTGTCCCCATTCGAAGAAAGTAGAGTCATCAATCCTCCATGGAAGGGAGCTAAGTGATCTATCTACTCTAACACTTGAAATTATTTCAATACTTGATACTAATTCAGAGGGGCATGCCGCCTGTACCTTTACAGTCGGCTACTCTCCATTGATTATATCACTATATCATCAGAGGGGCATGCCGCTGTACCTTTACAGTCGGCTACTCTCCATTGAGTATAGCAGCGGTACCTCTATAGTCGGCTACTCTCTGCTTTGATTATTTTACTCTATCACTAGAGGGGCATGCCGTCTGGACATATAGTCGGCTACTCTCCATAGAAGAGGGCCGACTGGTTCCAAAGCACACAGCCACCCACCTTATACTTAGCTAAAAAAGATTAGGGCCAGGCCCGATGATCAGCCCAGGCGCCAAGCCAACTGATCCAATTTTTAAACTAATACGACATGTCCCAACATCATAGCAGGCGTCCGACGGCATCCCTCCGGATGAAATTCGTCGCAGAGAGCAGCTCCCTTTTGGGTGGACATTGCTCTATAAACTAATTACACGACACCTATACGACTGTCCCCAAGGGAAACCACGTAGCCGTTTTTGAGACAAGGATAACTTTATCACTAACCAAACCAGTGGTAGCAGTTGACATCTGAGTCGGATGACCCCCTGTATTACTTGGGATAAATTCAGGGGGTACCTCTTGAGTTAATAGCCAACAAACATTGGCGAATCAAAAGGTTCAGCCGGCCTCCGCCGCCTGGTACCTTTACTACTCAAGCAGGAGTGACGGCGACTGAGTTACACCAAAGTCAACTCATAGGCACTCCCTCAAACTTGGTATGGAACCTAAAAGGTTTGAGTAGACCGCCTGTTTTTTGGCAAACAGGGGCACTCAAACCCCTATTCCTACTAGGTAACCACTCCTTGGGTTAATAGCCAACAAACATTGACGAATCAAGGGGATCAGCCGGCCTCCGCCGCCTGGTACCTCTACTACTCAAGCTAGAGTGTGACGGAGACTGAGTAACTCCCATGTTAACTCATAGTCACTCTCTCAAACTTAGTATGGAGCCTAAAAGGTATGAGTCGCCCGCCTGTTTTTAGCAAGCAGGGGCTCTCAACCACTACTCCTGCTAGGTTAACAACCTTTGAGTTAATAGCCAAGAAAAACTTGGCGAATCAAGGGGACTATCCGGCCCCCGCCGCCTGGCTTCCCTACTACTCAAACAAAAGAGGCCAACGGCCGAATAATGCTAAATGCTTACCCTTGTGCAATAGTTGACAGTCCACCTGATCAGGGGCTATCTGCATAGTGGGGCAAAGAATCGGCATCTGTCTAGTTCGGCGGCAATCATTATTATGATTGATTAACCTTGAAAATGTCATACCGCCCAAGGTATCAAAATTTTCTAAGTTAATCAAGTCCATCTCCCATTAGAACTAGACAAGATGCCGACCTAGCAAAGCTTCGAGGGTCTAACTTTCGAAAGGAGCAATCCCTCCTGGAAAGAGAAATTACTCCTTCCGAGGGGCAAATGTTTAGGGTAAAAATTACCCATGACAAATGGACCAATCCGGACCTGCCACGTGTCCACCACGTGGGCCAATCAGCGTCCGCCACTTGTCACCCTAAGAGGTCCAATATGGACTAATCAGGCCACGCCACGTGGCCTCCCATATGCCAAATAGGCAAAATGGCCACCAAGGCCCAAAGTCCGAGAGAAGCCCAATTTGCCCTGGTTAACCTAAACCTAGGATTGACACGCTTCTCAAGACTATAAATACTTAATTAATCCTCATTAAAGGGGATTCAGCAATTGATGACTCTCACCTAGAGAAGTCTAAACACATTGATCACTCCTCCCCTAGAGGAACCAGATCTTCCACCTTTACTTTCCGCATTTATTACTCCTCAAACAAGTACTAACTTGACCGTTGGAGGCGGAGCTCCCACCACAAGGAGTCTCCGTTGTTTTGCAGGTACAGGCGCAAGGATATCAGTCCCGGAATTGTAACTCTCCCGCAGGACATCAGAAAACCCCGAAACACATGATGGAATAAAATTAAAAAGAAAAAAGCAGTAGAAGTGCAGACATAGATACGAAGTATATTATTATAGTATGAGCAATTGAGCATACTGAATCAGTATGCTCTGAGACCAACCTCCTGATTGCCTGAAAGGGGTGATTCAAAAGAATGGCTGTGCAGCCACTTTCTTGTCGTCATATGCTGCAGCCTGATAATTGTGGTACTTACAATAGGGTCACCTTGTTTAGCAGACGTTCCCAGCTCTGGCCTAACAATCTCCAATGTAAATACACTAGTTAATGAACAATCTACCATACAACATCAATATCAACATTATCCAATGCATTAAAAGAAGCTCCTGCCTTGAGTGGTAGAGAGATCAATACTCAATTACATGCAGAAACAACAGAGCAGGCTATTACTAAGTAGCCCACATTATTTACATTCAAGACCAATTATTGCATACATGCACAAAACTCCAATGCGTTAATTCAATCTTATGCCATCAAGTACGTATTATAATTTCTTATTAATCATAAAAATTAATACATATACATAATATTAACAGAAATGTTGCACTTGCATTTACATCCTAGCTAATACTCCATCTCTAGATAATTATCACGTACATTCTCCCATGCTCTCATAACTAAGAAAATATGACACAATTTCACTACAGATCCCTTTGTTATATAGTCAGGTTATTCCCATACTCTTATCAGCATTCGATTAAAGTACTGGCATTTTGGAATATAATCATAAACCATTCCTAAAAATGCGACAACTTCTTCCAAACATTCCAAAGTAGCAGTACTATACGCAAGTACAAAGAATGATGGCGGACTATAAAGAATGCAATCTAATAAAGAAGTAAATAACCAAATCACACCGAATAATCCACAAAATGTATGTTTATCATTATTCTAAATTTGGAGGCATGATCAAAGAGAGCAAAAGTGAGTACCCAATAGCTATTGGCATCATCAACAGTGGGAAAACCAGTAACAGATTGCTGTCCACTGCCAGATCCATAAGGCAAATCATGAGAGTGCAACCTAAATTTAGTCTTCTCATGCATCATCTTCACAACTGACCCATATGTAATCTAACACAAAAACACCAACAAAATCAATTAGAACACAAAATAAGCAACACCCAGAAATCAAAACTTTACGAAATTAAATTTCATTCAATTGTATTCAAAATAGGTAATCAAGATAGTTAAGACCCATCACACCTAAGTTAATTTCAATCAATTGCATTTAAAATAAAAATAAATCAAGACCCATCATACCTCTACATCATCTGAAGCGGCGGAAGCTGTAAACGAGCAGAAATGCGGGTTGAATGAGAAGAAGAGGAAGAAGGTGAGAGCCAAAGAAGTGGAAGACATACTGAGATGTTGGTATTGTGTTTGCTTTTGATAAATTAGCTTATACAGCACTAAATCTAGGTTTCGAAGCTCCTTTTCTTTGATTTTTTAGATTGTCTAGATGTTTGATGCAGTTTTTTCCGAGTTTATAGTAGCTTTGGATTGAATTGTTAACATTTATTTAGTCTAGTTAGATCTCTGAAAGCTTGAATTGCACTGCACCGTCTGCACAGTCACTCATACAGTCACACGCATACAAAACAGATGTTAATCGTACCACCACCATAGTGTCATAAGACTCATAACTGTCATTCTATCATGAATTTTTCGTATGCACAGATATGGACTTATAGATCACACACCCAACTAATACGGTATAGACGTATAGTTATCAATAAAGTGTTGGTTCACTTGATAAACTTCTTACCTAATAATCCTAAAGTGTCCGATACAAGTCAGATGATTGTGATTTGTTAATACTTCTTTTATACAAGTAGTACTTTTCTAAAATAATAGTGACAATGTGATAAGATATTAGATTAAAAATAGCGAAACTATGATCTTTAAGTGCATTACAACTTATAAATACTCTTATTTTCAATGTAATACCTTGTTTAATGTATTTTGAGACCATTAGCACTTATATTCAAGGTAATACCTTGTTTAATGTATTTTGAGACCATTAATACCTTGATTAATGTATTTTGAGACCATTAATACCTTGATTAATGTATTTTGAGACCATTAGCACTTATTGTTTAATGTATTTTCAATGATCTTTAAGTGCATTACAACTTATAACTCAATCAGCAGCTTAAACTTTTGGTTACATTAGTTATTTATAATGTATTTTGAGTAGTTACTCGTATCTTATTTTTTGAGACCATGTTTTCTAGTAATGTTATTAAAATTCTATACTCGTATATTTATTCATTTAAGGATAATATAAATATAAATGTTCATCCTTTAAATTTACAAGATAAGTGTGTCTGAAAGACTTATATAATCCTTATAATTTTTCCTTATATAATGACTTGTGGTAAATTAGTCCAAGACCTTCAAACCAATCTTAATTTTTCATTTATAATTGGTGTTATGACTGATGATAGATAAAGTGTTTTAATGACATAGCAATGAAGGTTAGATAGGGAGTAAGGAGGCATTGCATCTAACCAACGTACCAAACCCATCAACCATGCCAACAAAAAACATAAAAGTGAAAATAACTATTTTGGGTCCATTTTAGTTAAATGGACCCAAACATTATTGTTGAAGGTAAAAAGAAATAAGATCCACATATTATAAGGCATGAAAGTGACGATCCGATTGGACGATTTGCGGACCCTCCCAACTACCCGTTTAAACGCCACGAGATTAGCTTGTGTTGTGATTTATGGTTGGTTTGTTTTATCCGCACCAAAATTGTTTTGGACTTGTTAAATTATTATGAACAAATGTCCACAATATAGAGTATAGACTTGTAATAGAAACAAGAGGACTAATGTCCCTTGATTTGGAAATTGATTTCTAGGTGTAAAACCTCTCTTATACTAAATGTGCATCTTGTATATATAGTTAGTTGTATCTTGTATGTAGTTTTAATTTAGGCTAACTAACGGTTTGATTCTTTTTTTTTTTTTTTTTTTTTTTTTTTTAAGAAATGATATTTAGACAAATTTGTAAGTTGTTAAGAAATGTGTACGTACCTTAGTGAATAAAAGGAGATAGACTGACTTATTTAATATGAAATATTAAATTGTTTTTCTGTTCGAATAATGATGACTGAAATAGATCAAATATGAAATACTTAAAGCAGAGGAAATTTAGTATTAGATCACAGAAATTTAGGAGAAAGAAGAGAGAATATTTTCTGATTACTTGAAGGAAATGAAACCGTTACACCTACACCTTTATTACATGAGCTCAGGGAATCTAATAACAAACCAAGTACATGAACATTCCATGCACTAAACTTGAGCCAAAACAGAAAGGGAAAAAGACAAAATGAAATAACAGAATTGACAACTAGTCATAGGCAACTGACAGTATAGCAGCTATAATATTTTTAATACTCCCCCTCAAGCTGGTGAGTGAGCAGCAGAAGCTCTTAGCTTGGAAACATGCTTGTCATGCAGCTTGACAGGAAGAACCGTGGTGAAAATGTCAGCAAGTTGGTCTGCAGATGACACTTTCACAGGCTTGATTATACTTTTCTGAACCTGATCTCGCACAAAGTGACAGTCTACTTCAACATGCTTTGTGTGCTCATGAAGTACAGGGTTAGCAACAATAGCCAGAGCAGCTTGATTGTCACACTTGAGGACTGCAGGACGAAGATAGGTTATGCTCAAATCTTTAAGAAGAACAGTTAGCCAGGAAACTTCACTAGTGGTCAGTGCCATGGCTTTGTACTCAGCCTCAGCTGATGAACGAGCAATTACAGATTAAAGAACTAAGAAAAATGCAGTATCTAGTAGTTGACTTTCTGGACATGGAGCAACCAGCCCAGTCACTATCACAAAAGGCTGTGAGTTGAGCAGCTGAGCTTGAAGCAAGTAAGATGCCCTGAGAAATAGTACCAGTGAGGTATCTGAGCAAGCGTTTAGCAGCTTACATATGAGCATTAGAAGGTTAGTGCATGAACTGAGTAAGAATCTGGATAGTGAAGGCTATATCAGGCCTTGTAATTGTCAGGTAAATAAGCTTGCCAACCAATCTCTGATAGGGTTTAGGATCAGGTAAAGGATAGATCACCCTTGGTGGCAGTCAATTTGACAAGACTATCCATAGGATGAAGCAAAGGCTTAGCAGACAACATGCCAAATTCTTTGAGAATGTCAGTAGTGTATTTCTTCTGAGAAAGAAAGAACCCAGCATCGTATCAGTTCTATTAATTTCAATGCCTAGGAAGTATCTAACTTCACCAAGATCTTTCATGTGAAACACTTTAGAGAGTAGTGCTTTGAGAGTGTTGATATCTTGAGAATTATTGCCACAAATGAGCAAGTCATCAACATAGATCAGAATGAGAGTAATGGAGGTGGCTATGACCTTGATGAATAAGCTGTAATCAGACTTGGATTGAATGAAGCTCATTTGCAGTTGTATGACAACTTATGAAGTTATTGTCTCGGGGCTTTCTTTAAACCATATAGAGATTTCTTTAGCTTGCAAACCAAAGAGGAATCAGTCTTTGGAGGTTGTCTGTAATCAACATTTTGTTGAATTCTACTTCCAAGGCCTGAGTAACCTTGAGGTAGTTTCATATAGACATTCTCCATAAGATCACCATGAAGAAAAGCATTTATAACATCCATTTGGACAGTATACCATTGCTCAATAGCAGCTACAACAAGTAATGTTCTCACAGTTGTCATTTTGGTAACTGGTGAAAAAGTCTCAGAGTAATCAAAACCAAATTGTTGCTTGCAACCAAGGATGACTAGCCTTGATTTATGTCTTTCAACTGAACCATCAGGGTTGTACTTGGTTCTATATAACCATTTGCAGCCAATTGCAATTTTACCTGGAGGCAAGAATGTTATATCCCAAGTATCATTCAATTCTAGAGCATCTAGTTCTGTATTCATAGCTTGCACCCAATGCTCATGCTTTACAATATCTTTGAAGAAGATAGGATCACTGTCAACTACTAGTGTAGTCAAGAAACAGTGAAACTCTTTTTGAATTTCATTAGCAGTAAGGTTTGATATGTGAGGTGGTTTTGAATGCATGACATAGTCTTTATGCCAAAAAGGAGCTTGATGGTCTCTGGTTGATTTTCTGACAGGTGGTGGAGAAGGAGGTGTGTTTGAGGAAGAAGGTGAGGAAATAGGAGGTGTGACTGGAGAATTGTGAGTGTTTGAGGTAGGAGAGTGGCCATGATGAGATATATGTGAGGTTAGGGGTGAGTGATCTGCTGAGTGAGTGTTCTAAGTATTATCATCAGTACCATCTTCATTCATTACCTCATCAAAGATGTCAAAAGTAATAGTCTCAGGAATAGGTTGCATATAGGAATTGTGAGATGAAGAATGAAAAGGGAATATGTGTTCATGAAACACCACATCTCTTGAGACAAAGGTCTGTTTGGTGATGAAGTTCTGCAGTTTGTAACCCTTTTGGGTTGCAGGATATCCCAAGAATATGCAGGGAACACCTCGAGCCAAATTTTTCAGTGGAGCGATCTTGATTAGAAGCAAATTCCAGACACCGAAAGACCTTTAAATGACTGTAATCTGGAGCTTTGAGAAATAGACACTCAAAAGGTGTCTTATTGTTGAGAACAAGAGTAGGAAGTCTATTTATGATGTGTACAGCAATCAAGACACATTCACCCCAATAAGACAAAGGTAAGGCAGCCTGAAATCTCAATGCTCTTGCCACTTTAAGAACATGTCCATGCTTTCTTTCAACTCGAGCATTTTGTTGTGGTCTTTTTACACAAGAAGTTTGGTGAATAATGCCATGTTTTGCAAAGAAAGAGTTGCTCGAGCCATCATCAAATTCCAAGTCATTGTCTGACCTCAGGAATTTGATGCTCTTCTGAAAATGATTTTGAGCATAGTTGGGAAAGGTTTCAAGAGTTTTTAGTTAGATTTGAGTTGCAGCAGATACACCCAAGTGTTTCTTGTGTGATCATAAAAAAATAGTCAAGAAATTCCTGCATTTGCCCTTAGTGTTGACCCTATATGGTCCCCATATGTCCATATGGATCAGCTCAAAAGGTTGAGCAGCATGAGAATTACTCAGGTTGTATGGAATTTTAGTGAACTTTGACATAGGATAGGTGATACACACCTTGGAGTCATGAGTAGTGAAAGGTTTCACACATGGTATGTGTTTAAGTTTTGTGAGAGAGGCATGCCCTAATCTATGATGCTAGAGAGTGAGTGAGTCAATTTTGTCTGCAGGAGCAGACATTTCAGAATAAAGAGCACTCACTTTTATTTTGCTCAGATTATTGTCCTGTTCCAAAACTTCAGATATATAATTATCAAGATAATACAGGTCATCTTTCATCTTGCCTGTGCCTCTAATCTTCTGAGATTGAGTGTCTAGGATGATGCAATGTTTAGGAAAGAATTGCACTTGACATTGATTGTATTGAATCAATTTCTGTACTGACAGAAGGTTGTGCTTGAAACTTGGCACACATAGAACATTTTCAAGTTTCAGTCCAGTTTTAAGAGCACTACTCCCTATGTGTGAGATTTCTGCTTTCTCACCATTGGGAAGATTGATCTTGGTCATGTTAGCAGCTTTTCTGTATTCCTCAAGATTCTGCAAATGT